TTAAGAGGGCCATAATTCACTTCATAATACTCTAATCAAACTAAAAAAGAGATTTAAGATGGTTGTTACCTACTGACCCTTACCGAAAAGCTTGATGGATGGGTGCCAAAAAAAGTCGATCAGTACAAATCTGAGGTCTTAGGAGCTCCAGCTCACAAATCTGGTTGGTTGGTGTATGATCATCGGAGTTTGAACTACAGCGTTCAGAATCATCGGAGGTTGCCTCTCACCTTCAAGAATCGCCAGATTGCTCGTGGGTTCGCCGTCGCTTGAGCCGCACTGAACAATGGAGGTCACCGCCGGTCGAATGGATGAACGTCGTCGTCGTTCGAAGAGATGGAAGTTGTCGCCGCCGAATCGTCGCCGTTCGCACTCAGTGAAGTTCGATTCGCACGACAATAGAGCTGGTTTATTTGTGTAGGGAGGGAGGCAAAAATTTTTTAGATCGACACATTTTCGTGGTGAAAATAAAAGTTAGGTTAAAAAAGTAAAGTGAATTTTAATGGCGGGCTGGGCCTAACATTAAAGGTAGATTTACAATATCAGGCCTCGCTCGACATTGAAATATAAATTTTAATTTTTTTTTTCGATTTAGCGCATTTTTTAACTTGACCGACATTGTTTCCTCCGGTTTTTTTTGTCCGACATTAATTCCTCCGTGTTTTTTTTCTTGTCCGACATTAAAACCCATATTTCTAGTAGTGTAAGGATTGCAAAAAACCGTATGTACAATGGCAAGAGACATCACATACGTCTAAGACATGGAGCTGTGAAACAGTTGTTAAAAAATGAAATTATATTCTTAGAGTATGTGAGGTTCGAGAGGAACTTAGCAGATCCTCTAACTAAAGGCCAAACAAGGAGAGTAATTATGGAGTCCTCAGGATGTATGGGACTGAAGCCATGATGTTTTCTCACTAGCATGAATCCATAGCCCTTCTTTTAGGTGGTCCATGTATGGACTTGATGGATGTAGTGAAGCATATGTGAATCCAAAGCCCTTCTTTGGGTGGTCCATGAATGGACTTGATGGATATGATGAAACACTATGAATTCATAGTCCTTTTTGGGTGGTCCATGCATGGACTTGATGGATAATATTCAAAGTCTTCATAGCTCAGTTTTGAGTGGTTTATCTATGATAGACTTGATGAAGCGACAAATGTGACTGTGAAGGTAAGGTCGCCTTCTATGAAAGAGTAGAGTTGAGGAGTCTCTTTCTAAAGCTTTCACAATTACTCAAGGTGTATGTGCATGGCCATTCAAAGTACTTGACAACTATTGCGGAATCAAAATCGAGGATTCACACGTATTATGGGGGTCTCAACTATAAATACTGGAAGTTCAAGAGGTAACCCACTTTCATTACTTAGGTTGTTGCTCTACTTCACTATGCATTAATTCAAATCGAAAGATATTACACTACTAGAATTTTGGGTTTTTGTGACGCCCATGAACAGTAAATTACTGTTGAAGATTATTAAAAAACGTCATGAAAAGTAAAAAACTCATTTTTAGAGGGAAAAAACAGAGATTTCCGGATTTTGACCTTTTGTGACATTTTTTAAACCGTGACGAAATGATCGTCAAAAAGTTGATTTTTTGTGACGTTTAAAAAACGTCATGAAAGATTGAGGCGCGTTTTTCGCGAGAAAAGACGGAGTGTTCCGAATTTTGTACTTTTCGTGATTAAAAAAATAAAAAATTGTATTAATATTTTTATCTTTTTTTTATATAAAGTTAATATTTCAATCTAAAAAAATCCAAAAAATAAAAAATACTAAGTCCAAGTTATTTCCTCCCTCCCAAAACTTCCTCAACTGAATTTCCCTCCCACTCGAAACAGTCAAACCCTTGTCTTCTCCCTCTCTCTTTTGGGTCGTAGTTTCTCTTCTCCTCTACATCGTATCTCCTATCTCTTGGTAGCATGTGACAACGAGCAACGACGAACCCAAGAGCATTTGTTCCCGTGGTGAACTCCGACAGCCGCTTTACTGAGCGATTTTTTGAGCGGCGATCTTCTGTGCTTCGTTCTTCACGTTTTTCCTTTGGAAAATGCTGAACATTTGCTGGTGAGTTCGATTAGGTGCATAACCCACTTCTTTCTTTTTCTCAAATTTATAGCTTACTTTCAACTTCGAGTTCAATTGGCTTAGCCCTCTCTGTTATCTTGTGTTCTTTCGTTTTAAATTCAAGTTTGAGGGTTTGTCAGGTGAGGTATTTGGGGGCTTCTAGCCTTGTACGTTACCCTTTTAATGCCCTAATTTAGAGTGTTGTAAGTGAATTTTTTCTTATTTTGTTTGAGATTTTTTTATTTTTATTTTGGTATGTCAGCATATCAGATTCCTAGTTTATCTCTCCAAGTTTTAGTTACTAATACTCTATTTATACATCGTTACTACTATTAATTGCATTTGTCTTATGTCTAAGGAAGTTGATTGCCAGATTGTTGTTCATTTCAAGTATTCAATTGCTGATATTCTTAGTGTCGATGGAATATTTCTAGGTTAGTTTGATAGTGATGAACTTTCTAATCAATCAAAAGTCTTTATGTGTTTTATGAGTTTAAAGGATGTTTTTGACCATTGAAGTGGAAGGATAGGACTTAGGAGTTAGTTTAAAGTTCCCAGCTTACAATTTGTATTTGAAATTATATGCAGTGCCTTTGATACTTGATGCTACGGAAATTATATTCCAAAAGGCACTTGATCTTCGAAGAAGTGGTGCTGTAAGCAAATTTCACTATCACTATTATTATTGTGAATCATAAATTTAATCTTCAATTGTGCCAATTTAGATTTTGAACTTAAAAAATTTTAAATATATTATTAAACTTTGTATTAGGATTCTATAATGTCCTTGCTCTTAAAATTGCTCTAATTTAGCTATTACAAAAGCTGTTAAAAGGCAGTCCCTCAATGAGTAATTAAAAGGGAGAGGCCTTAAATGGACAAACTGTACAGCTCTACATATTTACCTCTCTGACTCCACCTTCTTGAATAATATTAATGCTGACCTCAAGTCATTTCTTCCAAGATGTTTGGAATGATTCAAATACTAATTGCACATCATGGAACGTGTATCATCCATTGTCATCTCGAGAACAAACCTTCCTTTTTATTCTTCATTTGGTTGTGCAAGAGAAGTTTTAAGATGAGTTTGGTCTCCTTTTCTAGATGATTTTTGTTTCTCAAGTAGACTTCTATTAAATTTTTGTTTGCTACTCTATTTTCTATCATCTTTCAATTATCACATTTACTTTATGTCCAGTTTATTTTCCTTTTGGTTTTTTTTTTTGAGTATTTTTTTATACATGACTTCTTATTGAGATTAACTTCAATTCAATTGCTTAGACATATACAATGACTGTTTTTCATTGTGGTAGTAATTTTTATTCTTTACAAAAGCCTATTTCTCTTATTGAATAGATTTGTTTCTTATACTTTTGAATACATTACTATTTGGAGATTCAACAATGTTCAAAGACTTCAAGAGAAGGTTACGTAGCGACTTGAAGAAGATTATGGATGGTCGGATCCTTGCTTCTGAAACTAGACTAGGAGGGAAAGCAAAGGTGATAATTGTTATATGGCCATTATTTTTATCTGATTATGAGATTATATGTTTTTTTAACTTAACCTACATCAGAAATTACTTTCCAATTATTATGGGTCTTTCTTGATAAATTTCTTTATAGATTACTGAAAAGTGATTCCCACGTAGTTGTATTTTTTTTCCTGATTTTGTTACATCCAATCTCGAATTTGTTATAGTTTACAAGAATGCTTAAATGGAGAGTTTGTTAGTTTAGTCCAATTGGTTACTATGGTATGGTTTGTTAAATTTTAAACATTTTTTGTGGACAAGTGTCCTACATAATATTGGTAGAGTAAATTGACTTATTCTCAATTTATGCCTTACTCACGCCCAAACAAAGCCCGATCTGTGATACCCACACCTTTTTGTCATCAAATCTACAAATCCCAACACTTTCACCATCGTTTCAGCAAAGTTTAGTGGGTAATGACCATTTGAACACCCTTTTAGATTCAACTTTAGTAGCCAAAACTGAGTTGTAACATGCTGATTTTACCTTGTTGCCTAGGTTTCAATCCGCCTCAAGAAGTTAGGAGCGTTTAGGCGAGTTGTAAGTAGCTCTTACTTAAAGGGATGTTTGTTGTGTGCTTAGTATGAATGACATGTTTTAATCTATGTGTTTTATCTCTTAATGCTCGTTAGATATTGTTGTTAGATGTTTCTTTATGAATGTTGGATGTTCTGAATGGCTATGATTGATTCTAGTTGTTTATAATTGTTTGATTATGCTCTGTTATGACTACAATCACTGTAAAGCATTATATTTTTCTTGCCAAGTATATATGCATTACATTTTGAATGAAAATAAATAGTTACTGTTTTGTCTAAATGTTTTCTTTTTGGCAAGACAAATTAGTAAAATGATGATATTCAGGTGATTCAATTAAAGATGATCAATGAAGCACAATGGCAATGGCTAAACAAATGGCTACTTATAACTAACTTCTTTAATGTTAAGAACTTTTCTGTTATGCTTGCTAATTGTTGGAACTATTTGATTGTTTATGGTTGTGATATTTGATGATTTGATCTCCAAATAGCTAATGATTTGAACTACTTTTCTTGTGTATAAGTGTAAAATGTTGGGCTTTAGCTAGATTTTTCTCGAGACCTTGTTTGTTAAAAATATCGAATCAAAACTTATATTTATGTGATATTTTTCATTAAACTTAATTATAATTGAGTTTTCGTAGTTGTGGAGTATGCATTATATCAAGTTCCAATTCTTCCATTTGGAGTCTTTTACTTTGACCTTGGTTTTTCGTATTTTGTATATGGGTCACCACTGGAAAGTCATAAGTTCCAAATAAGGTTAAGCGACGAGGTCTTTTTTTGTTGTTATTTTTGCTTTCTTGACTTCAGGAATTTCTCTTCTGCTTAGATAGAAATTGGTATCATTATAAAATAACAACTTCTTATTAATTTAGTATGACCAAAGTTCATTAATCTATATATTTTTTCATGCTTATTTTTGATTGTTTACATGTTGAGTTCCTCTTGTAGAGTTCAACTTTTACCATTTTAACTCTATGGTAAATAGTGTGTCTATTCTATTCTTGAATAATTATATGTTGAGTTTCTATTGTGGTTTCCGACTGAACTGAAATGTTCTTCTGTAATGGTTAAATTACAATCTTAGAAGTTAATTTCTTATTTTAGTTCTTTTCTTGATCCTCAACAAGAGCTTATGATCTTACAGCTCTCAAGTATTAGGGACCCTCCATTCATTTAAACTTCTCGATATAATAGGATTGTGGTGTTATCGACCTATTTTTCGATCTTCAAATTCATTATGACGATGTTCTTTTTACAACTAAAGAACTATCACGATGATTATTGTTTTATTTGCAGAGCAAGCAGATCCAAGGGATCCTTGCCATTACTTCAATATCAAGTTGCAATATGTGAATGCTATGAATTGTACAGTTTTAGTCTTCTACTAAATGAACATTTTTTTATAATTATATTTGACTATCGTTTCATTGTCCATGTCCATTTTGTTTGAATTGTAGATTAGATAAATTTGTGAATGAATGATTTTGATTGACACGCTTAAGTATTGTGTTTTAGAATGATTAAATCTTGTTTCTCATTATGTTAAAGATGAAGCATTAAGTTCAAATTAGTAATCATTAGCATTTGGTTTGAATGTTTGTTTCMAGAGTTAACTTATTTCTCTTAAGTCCATGTTCTAGATTTCTTGTGGAGTATGGAGAATATTAAACAACAAAAAATCAATGGAAGCAAATGATGGATTTAGAGCAATATGGAAGCTTCATACCTCCAATGCAATTGGTTGGTCTTTAGTTCAAGTGGAAAGGTCTCTTGTATTTATTTTTTTAAACAATTTTTTGCATATCTTTGTAAGTTACATGTTGAAGCTCCTTGTTTTAAGAAAGCTCCTACTGATGGTGGTTTTGCTTACGTTGTTGTAGGTGGTTTTGCTTATGTGGTTGTTGGTGGTTTATTGGCTTTCATAGGAAATGTGTATTTTCAATTACCTTTATCTTTATTTTCAATTATCATGTGCAACGATTCTACATCACACTGTGACATCAATAGATGTAAAGATATTTTATTAGCCAATGTTATTCGCTTGTTATTGATATACAATATTTATCAATATAAATGAGATAAGAATAATTGATTTTTCTTTTCATTGAGTGGAAACGATTTTGTCCTTCCATTTCTAAAGCTTCCTTGTTGTTGTTGTTTCTGCTTGTAATATACCATAACCTTGAGTTTGTGAAGCTGAGAAGAAAATGTCTTTCCCTTTTGCTAACAGTACACTTGATAGCTAGGACAATAATCTATATTTATAAAGAATGTGGTAATTTCTAGCATAAGTCATGCCGAAATTTTATTTTTAGTTTTTTGTTTGATTTGTGTTTGATGAATGGGTATTGAATCCTCCTAGTGAATCAAATATATTTGTATGTTTAGTTTTATTTTAGAGAGAGATGAGTGGTATATCATTTGTTTTAGGTAATTAGTAATTGCATGTTTCTTAATGACAGATATTCCATTAAGGAAGCTATGAACATTCCATGAGGGAAGCTATGAAAAATATAAAAACGAACATTCCATTAGGGAATCTATGAAGCTACGAACATTCGAGGTGGTTCTAATACATGAAAAATAGTTTATATTGAAATACATTTTTTCTGTAGCCTACTGATTATTTCCAAACATCTTGAGTCCTAAAATTCTTGAAGGCCTATTATGATATTGTATGTAAAAGCATAGCATTCTAATTAACAGTCGAAATGGTGCCTTTCACATCATGTAATTACGTTCGACAGAAACAAGCTATGAAGGTACTCTTCTTAGTGTTTGACCTGAATGTTTGTTTCAAGAGCTATGTCTATTTCAAGAGCTAGCTTATTTTTCTTGAATCCATGTTCTAGATTTTTGTGGAGTATGGATAAAATTAAACAACAAAAAAGCAATAGAAGCAAGTGATGGATTTTGAGCCATGGAAGTTTCATATCTCTAGTTCAATTGGTTGGTATTTTAGAAGTTGAAATATTTCAGAGTTTTGTATTTATTTTTTCAAACAATTTTTGCTTATCATTGTAAGTTAGATACGATTTATGGAGAGATGGGAAGACTAGTATGTGCTATATACAGTACTGAGACTTGAATATATCGATTTCATTTTTATTACTTAAATACACTTTTTTTTTGTAAATGTTGGATTGTTTGTAAATGTAGTTTGTGGAGGGAGGGGTGGTCCACGTATTATGTATAGAAGATGTTAATTATATAGAACTTTATATATAGAATTGTGGATTGTTGTTGAATGTAGTTTGTGGAAGGACTGAGGGTATACGTATTATAGTTAGTTTTCGAGTTATTATAAAATTTATACATTCCATGACGCACAAATAGGGACGTACAAACGATGACGCACAAACTGTGACTCTATTTGATTGTCACAAAAATATACTTTTCGTGACGTTCAAACACTGTCACGAAAGGATGTCACGTGACCTCTACTCCCCTATTCAAGGTTTTTCCGTGACCTTGTATCACTGTCACGAAATCATTTTTCATGACGTTTTATGAACGTCGTGGAAGTCCATGTCTTTCATGACGAAAATTAACCATCATGTGTGCTAATTTTTATGACGTTTTTTAAACGTCTTGTATACCTTTCGTGATGGGCGTATACGTGACGGCGTTAAAAACCTCATGAAAGTTTTTTGTGACGTTAAAAAAAGTCACGATAAACCGAATTTCTACTAGTGTTAATGCTTAAGTTTTTTATCCTTTGCTCAGTTATTTCATCCTTCTTACTCATTTCTTTTACTATGCTGTCATTCGTGGGGGATTGTTGGGAATGACAAATATTAAAACCTATTGTTGCCCCACCGTGGAAAAATAACCTTTGGGAAGTTCGTTTATAAGCATTAACTCTGTATTGGGCTTATAAACTTGGTGTGAGGTAAGCCAAGACCAAGGCCCACACGCACGCCGCTGCCGCCATCCGACTCGAGCTCGGGCCTATGTTGATAAATGAACGTTGAACGAGAGAAGAGATTAAATGGCTAGTCAAAGGACACATGGGTGGCCAAAATCATTTTTGAATTTTTATTTTTTCTTTATCACTATAAAAGGCTCACTCCGCTGCCATTTCAAATCATCCTATTCATCTCAATCTCCCCTCTATTCCTTCTCGTTTCCCACCTCTTTCAACTATCTTAACTGAGCACGAGATTGATTCCACTCCCATTCCGACGAGTGCATGTCTGAATTTGAGGTTGTGTTAACTTTGGGGAGCATACCGACAGTAAAACGATTTAGCATTGAGGTCGTGCTGATTTTGCTTTCAAGGCAGTGATTCTACCCACGACACAACGTTTTTACCTCCTAATTGCAATTTTGTCGTTTATTTTCCTACAAATAGAAGCAAGAGACTTAAGATGAGGTAACCGAATATCCTACATCCCTGCCGAACGAACCAGAGAACTCAGATGCCCATTTAATAGAAATATTTAATTTCTACGAGACAAACAACCCCACCCTGAATGTCTCTAATTTACATTTTTTTCAAAATCAAATTGAACAACTTTCGCTTCCAATATAATTGAGAGATAATTTTAAATAAAACAATGTAATTTGCAGTATAAACTGATTATAAAATTAATTTTTATCATTATTGAAATTTAACTTTTAGCATATTTCACCCTTTCTCCAAGTTACACTAGTTATTATTTTTCAAAACTTAATAATGTGATTTGGGCTAGGCAGGAGGGAAGAAAAGAGGCTTGCCTTAAAGTTAAAAAATTATATACATATTAAGATTTTAAAGTTTTTTCCCCTAATTTAGGTCCTAAATTTTTATACTAGAAATATTATATATATATAAACTTAAAATGTAAAAATTTGTCACTGGTTGTAAAAAATATTGGCTCCTGGTTGAAACTATTCGCATGATATCTTTCAAAAAATTGCCAACTAATGCCTAAGTGTAAAACATATAAACAAAAAAAGTGTAGGACATATAAAAAGTTCAACTGCAAAGGATGTTTAAAATAATTTTGACATATAAAAGTTTAGGACATAAATTTTATAAACTACTGTAATGTAATTTTAATTATTTAATCATTAATTAAACATAAAAATGAGCCGTCAACTAAGTTAGCGACTGAAATCAATTGTTTCATCTAGATTACATGGATTAAATTAAGAAAAAAAAAAGAAAACAACAACAAGATAAATTAAAATAAAAACAATTTGACAGTAATTTTTTTTTTTTTTCCTTCTATCTTACTGATCCCATTTGTATGTTTGCTGTGAGAGAAGATTTTGTCTGTTACCAATGGATGACTTTTCTTCCAATAAATAGATAACTTTAAACATAATTCTTTATCGTCAATTCAAATCTTCGATGAAGTATATATTACTTTTCTGCAAGTTTGATACTCACTCCGTATTTGTTAAATTAAAAAAAAATATTATTTATAGTCGGCAAAATCAACAAATCTATCTATATATTAGAAACTTTCTCTATTCATTATTATTATTATTATCTTTTTTTATAAATTCATCTTTTTATCTTAACAAATAGGAGTGGAGATTGAACAAATATAATAGGCACCTTATTGTAACCATTGTTCAAAATATCAGACGACAGATCGACATGTTATATAGAGAGGATAATCGTTTCTATTATATCGACAAAATTAAGTATAAAAAGTTTATCGATATTTCGTCGACATTCATCCACAAATTAAAAAAAATAAAAAAAAATTTGCTGGTACAAGGACCAAAATAAGAGCCCAACATTTATTATAGCTGTATGAGGGATGGGATAGCGGGGGAGTATTTATAGAGAGTACTCCTCCCTCTTCACATTGACGTGTTTATGTTAAAATATAATTAAAATATCTATTAAAGGATTTTCTAATTACAAAAAATCAAAAATTTGAAATTCATCGTGTGGTAGTTGAAATTTGATTGTGAAATATGACTAAAACGAGGCCTTCAATGTCTTTGGTAAATATAGGGTTGGAACTAAATCATCTCATCGTCCTCAATTAGAAAAAATATTCTTTAGGGTAGCGAGCTCTTTTCTGATCTCATTTTTGTTGATTCAGGATTTATAGTGGTTTTTTATACGATATTTTATTTGATTTTGATTGTATACCTTAACTATATAGGCATGAATAATATGTTTTCCATCACGTTAAATTCATATTTATGGGACCTCATGCATGTATATGATAATAGTATGTTATTCATAAAAAATAATGGTAAAATTACCCTCTCTTATCATGTCGATGTACTTTCATGAGGAGCTAAGTTGGTGGGTCTCAACTCCATTGACATGATGTCTACTATCATTTTTTAGTAGAGTCTCACATAAACATCTTCCTCTGCTCTTTCGTCCCGTAAAAGACTTCTCGAAAACCCACAAATTATTTATCTCGATTTTATGTTTATCCTTATATATATATGAAAATGTCCTATATTTATAGCTGGCAAAATCATTTTTTCTTTCCAAGTACAACAAATTCGGTGCATGAACCTCAAACCTCAAGGGAATGAGTATGGTATGAACGTCGAGAGAGGAGGACGTTGATCGAGCTTTTCCATGCCTAGTTCCAGTTTTCGTTAAAGACCTAGAGTTGGCTACGACTCTATACCAAGCCCTTTATGCTAAAATTCATTGAGGTTGATCCCGAAGTTACGTTTGAGACACTATAGTAGTAGTCTCTATTTATTCTACGGGCTTGCCATGTGGAGAACATAGGAAGGTTGGACTGTCCCGAAGACAAATATAATCGCCAACCTAGATACTTGGCAACAAAACCACATGGGAAACTCTCATGCGGCTTAAGGCTAGACCTACCCTCGATCTTTTGCACCCGACAGCTCGACCTCCGGGACGATATGAGTAATCACCAGTCCGATACCATGTCGGATCCTCAACCTATAAATAGAGCCCTTCATCCCGCATCAGGTATCGCATTCTAGTTCGGTTCTCCATAGCCAATTGACACTCATGCTTGTTATAGTCTCTATCTGTTGACAAAGGTT